TTCCTTCCTTCCTCTAAGGGCCTAGAAGTGATGCTGTAGCTCAAGTGGCAGATGGTTTTATTTCTTTGTTAACTTCAATTTTTGTGAGAGATTGATCAGTATCTTTGTGTGCTTGATTATTTCCCCTAATGTCATATCTACTTTGGCCCTCTATGAGATAACACAGGTGCGACACATCGTCCACACTGGTCTTTTATTATAGCTCACTCAGCAGAACAACTAAATGGGTTAAGAGTGAATCAATCACATGTTTTTCATCACCAGTGATTAATTAAAGAAAAGTGCAAGCACTAAAGACACTTTGGGGTTCGCCCCCAAGACAAAACGCAGGGCTGCGAAGGTGGCTCAGTGGTAGAGCGCTTGCCTTGCATGCTCGAGGCCCTGGGTTCAATTCCTCAGCACCACATAAGCAAAAAGAAAAGAAAAGCCACAAGTGGTGCTCTGGCTCAAGTGGTAGAGCGCTAGCCTTGAGCTGAAGAGCTGAGGGACAGCGCCCAGACCCAGAGTTCAAGCCCCACCACCGGACCACCCCCCCATAAAAAAACAAACAAAATGCAGAGATTGTAGTCTTTATTAATCCATCATATTTTTTAAATATATATCTTATTGTAAAGATACTGCATAGATTCGTCATACCATTATATGAGTTAGGTCATTAATATATTTTCTATTGAGCATTGTTACCCCTCCAAGAAAGACTTTACTACTGTTATGACTTTTTCTAGAAAACCTTTCCATATTTTTCTACATATGATTTTTCTCCTCTTTGTGTGTGAGGGTGTGTGTGTGTCTGTGTGTTTTGTGTATTCTGTGATGAACCCTGAGCTGTGTCTTGTAGTTCGAGGACTCCACATCTGCTATATCATAAGGTCTCTATCCTGTATTGGTTCTGTATTGCAATTGCAATTTCCTTACAGATCAAAGACTTTCCCCATTTGGTACAATCCCAAGTTATTTCATTTGTGTGAATCAACTTATGTGTGTTAAGCTGTCTTTCCACATTGGTCACATTCATAAGGTTTCTCTCCTTGTGTCGGTGATGGATGTTAAGTTGTGCCTTCCAGGTGAAAGAATTTCCATGCTTGCTACATACATAACATTTCTCTCTGGTTGTTTTTTTTTCTGATGGACAGAAAGGTGTATGTTCTGCATGAAAGATTTTCCACATAGGTCACATTCATAAAATTTCTATCCTGTGTGTGCTCTCTGGTGCATAGTAAGTTGTAGCTTCTGGCTGAAAATCTTTCCGCAAATATGACATTCATAAGGTATCTTTCCTGTGCGTTTTCTGATGGACAGTGAGCTTTGACTTCCAGGTGAAAGTCATTCCACACATGTTACATTCATAAGTTTTCTTTCCTGTGTGTATTATCTCATGGACATTGATGCTTGACTACCAAGAGAAGGACTTTCCACACATGTTACATTCATAAGGTCTCTCTAATGTGTGTGTTTTCTGGTGCCTAGTAAGGTTTCTTTTATGGGTGAAAGACTTTCAGCACAAGTTACATTCATAAGTTTTCTCTCTAATATGTGTTCTCTGATGAAGTTTAAGAGTTGATTTCCTGGTGAAAGATTTTCCACACATCTTACATTCATAAGGTTTCTCTCCTGTGTGTGTTCTCTGGTGCAGAGTAAGATATGC